GAGTAAGGACACCTCAACCTTGCGAACGTTCCTCTTTCGGTTTTGGATGTCGCCAACCGTGTCATCCTTCCACCCCATATAGCCACGTGCAAGTCGAAGTTCGATCCTTCGTACAGCAGAACGTGGCCGTCGTTTGGGTCCGAGCGCGTGTACGAGAACGTCACTTCTATGAATGGAAGCGGCGTCACTTCGTCTTGCGGAACAACGAAGTAGGAACACGCGCCCGATCCGATTCTGATCTTTCTACTATCGGGTTTCGCGTTGCAAGGTGCCAGACTGGTGGGTTGTACCGGTCGACCGTTCACCTCAAGCTCCGAGATGCATCCGCCGGTGCTGCCGAGACCTTCGTATAATCCCACGGAGTAGCTGTCGCCCAGATTGAGGTCGGTGTACCGACCTGCCAGTTTCTTCCATTCTTCCTGCCCTCGACCGATCGAAAAGTGCATGAAGCCTTCGGTGAATCCTATCCGGAGTCTGTTCCATTCGTTCATTCGCAGAGGAATTTCGCTGTCGTAGAAATCCGCTCCGGAACCCGTGTTCACGTAGATGCTCGCGCGGCCGTCGAAGAGCAATATCGAGAGGGAATCGGTGGGTCCTTTCCCTGTGAACACGTGCCCGTCCGATTTTTCGGTTTTGATTGAAAAAGAGAGACTGTCTATGTGATCGTACGATGGCATCGTGTGCATCCCTGTGTCGTCGGTCAGACGATAGGAGATCCGGGGTGGTGTCCCCGTCTCCGGTTGGCGATCGTCGACGGCTGCGACGACGACGACGGGAGGTTGCATCGGCGCCGCTTGGCAGAAAGAAAGTCCTGTCGGTGCGATAGGTCGACCGGCGTTCACCACCAAAGGAGTAATGCATCCTTCGAGCCCCCGAGTCGTTCCGTTCAATTCGGCGCCGATGTGGAGTTTGCCGTACAGGTTCAGATGCGTGAACGTGCCTTCCAGCATTTTCTTCTCGCTCGTTTCCACTCCTATCGCGATCTGCATCGAGCTTTCTTCGAACAGCAATCGAACCTCGTTCCACCTACCGGTGAGCACACGGTTTGCGCTGTTGAGAAACATCAGTCCGGAACCCGCGTCCACGGCGACTCTCGCGTATCCGTCGGTGAGGAAAACCGAGACGCGGTCGGTGGTGGTCTTGCTTGTGGCCGTGAACACGTGCCGTTGAACTCTTCGCGTCTGTTCTTCCGGTTTGAGCAAAAATGACATGCTCTCTATTCGACCCTCCCCGGCCATCGTAGAGGTGGAATCGTCAAGGCGGTAAGCGACTCGACAAAAAGCCATTCCCGCGGGTTCCACCTCTCGTCGACCGCCGTTGAGCTCGAGGGAGGAGATGCACCCTTCGACGCCACGTAATCCGTTCACGGTTCCAGTGACGAAGTCGCCGCCAAGATTTAGATGAGTGTAAGGGCCGTCTAGCTTGGTCGTCTCCCTCCGGCCGCCGTTCGTCGTGACGGACACGGTGGCGTTGGCGATCTCTATCTTCAGTCGGTTCCAACGGTGGACGTGCATACGATTCGGACTGTAGTACTGCATGGTTCCGGAACCGGTGTTCAGGTCGACGCTCTCGTAGCCACCCCAGCGAGATCGTGATGTGGTTGACGTCTCCGGAAGCGGTGAGCACGTGTCCGGTCGCGTTTTTCGGTTTGATCGAGAACGAAAGATCTCGAACGTCGGTCATGGGCATCGGAGACGTGTGCGTGGCCCCGCTTTCCCGTCGAAACGACTTGGACGGAATCCGTTGCTGCACGTAGGTTTCGGGTTCCTCTTCCGTTTCGTTGGACAAGGAAACGAGTTGGTTTTGGACACGAGAGGAACACGACTGCAGATCTACGTGTCGGATTTCCATATCGTTCAACGTCATCCGCGCGACGCACGCTTCCACGGACGGCGAACCTTCTGTGAGACCGACGTGCAGCCACGTGTCGACGTCCAGACTACTGTAATTGCCGTTGACCTTTCTCCACGGCTCCGGCATATCGTTGACCGTCAATCGAGCAGAATTCCCTATCTTGAGAACTTCGAAACGGTTCCAGGTGCCGGTGGCGATCGGACTCGAACTCTCGACGACCACCGGTCCGGATCCCATTTCGAAGGTTGCTCTCACTCTTCCGTCGTCGGATATCCTCATGAACGCGTGATCGCGAAGTTCGTCTCCCAGGAAGAAAATCTGGCCGACGTCGTTTCCTTTCTTCAATTTCATGTAGAACGAGATGCGCAGACTGTGGCGGACGTCCATGCTTTAGTGAGTCAGTGACACTTGGACGCCGGTCACGTTGCTTAAGCGGAAGGACAACATTTTGGGTACCATCATCGTTTCGTCCGTCATTTCTAGATTCGCGTTCGTCGCGCGCTCGTTGTTGTTGTCGACGGCGTCGGCGTCGTATTGGTGACATCTTTTCGTGGAGGGTGGCAGTTCCACGTCAACCAAATTAACGGTTATCCCTCGCATGCAGCCGACGAAAGAGTTCATGCC